CCTCTCTCTGTCTTCATGTCTCCCAGCCTCCTTGGCCACTCCCTTCCCATCAGAAGATTCTCCCCTCGGGGCTCCTGGGTCGCTCAGTCGGTTGGACGTCCGGCTCTTGATTTCAGCTCAGGTCATGATCTCACAGTTTGCGAGTTTGAGCCCCTTGTTGGGCTCTGCGCTCACAGCTCGGAGCCTGCTTGGGATTCTCTCTCTCTCTCTCTCAAAAAATAGATAAATGAGCATAAAAAATAAAGATTCTCCCCTCGATTCCTCTCTCCCCATACCTCCTGCTGTTACCCCCTGTGACCACGGTCCTGTCCTTGACTGCAGATTTGAATGGGGGTCCAGAGGTCCCTGGTGGCCCGGAAGACCCTCTACGGCGGACAGGCCGGTTCTTTGGGGGCCTGGTACGCGACATCAAGCGCCGCTACTCCCACTACCCGAGTGACATCACAGACGCGTTCAGCCCCCAGGTCCTGGCTACCGCTATCTTCATCTACTTTGCTGCCCTGTCACCGGCCATCACCTTCGGCGGCCTCCTGGGTCAGTGCCTCCACATGGCCCCCCTCACCCTCACCTCTGACCCTTTGGCCTCCGTGTCGGCCCTGTCTTCCGTCCCGACCTGACGGTCGGGGCCCCTGCACCAGCCTGCCCGTGAAACGCTCTATTGGCCCTTGGGAATGACCTCTTGACCTTGACCACACTGTAACTTCTACCCACAGGAGAAAAGACCTTTAACCACATGGGGGTGTCGGAGCTGCTCATCTCCACTGCGGCCCAGGGCATCATCTTCTCCCTGCTCGGGGCTCAGCCGCTGCTGGTGGTTGGCTTTTCAGGACCCCTGCTCGTGTTCGAGGAAGCCTTTTTCTCGGTAGCTCTGTTCTGGCCCTGACCCCACCTGCCTGACGCAAGGTGCCTGGGCCTGTCCGCTGACCCAGCCGCCTCTCCCGCCCTTGCAGTTCTGCAGCAGTAACAACCTGGAGTACATCGTGGGCCGCGTGTGGATCGGCTTCTGGCTCGTCCTGCTAGTGGTGCTCATTGTGGCCTTCGAGGGCAGCTTCCTGGTCCAGTTTATCTCCCGCTACACCCAAGAGATCTTCTCCATCCTCATTTCCCTCATCTTTATCTCTGAGACCTTCTTCAAGCTGATCAAGGTAGGGGCCACGGGAGTGTCGACAAGCACGTGTGACTCTGTGCACGCGCCATGTGACCGTGTGTGTCGCTGCGCACGTGTCCATATGGCACTCGTGCGGCTGTACCTTCACAGTGTGTGGCCGTGACCGCATTCCTGTTGACTCCTGCTGCCTGTGGGCCGGTGCTCTCTTTTTTGAGAGGGAGGGAGAGAGGGAGTGTGAGCAGGGGAGGGGCAGAGGGAGAGAGAGAACCCCAAGCAGACTCCACACCCAGCACGGAACCCAACATGGGGCTCAATCTCACGACCCTGGGATCATGACCTGAGCCGAAATCAAGACTTGGATGCTTAACACATTGAGCCCCCCAGGACCCCTGTGGGCTGGTACTCTTGCTGTGACTGCATAGTGCCTGTGCCTCTGTGCGCCCATGTCCAGTCCTGCATGCCGTCTCTACACTTACCCCCAAGAACCACAGGGCCTGTGGTTGGAGCACCCTGCCTCCTCGCCTCAGTCACCTTAAACTATGCCCACCTCTGCATCTGCATTTTATATGGAGGAAGGGTGGACGATGCGTGTCTGCCCCTGATTCTGCTCGTTGGTGGGGCTTTCTGTTTCCAAGTCTTCGAAGCCCTTTTTAGGAACCTCCTTGGCATTTGTTTCCTGCCCACCAGCCTTCTCAGGTCTCCCAGTCCCTGAGTGCTCACGTGCACACACACATGTACTCATTACCACCATGACTTAACCCCACCCAAGCTGAGCCTGCTCTCTACTCCTGAAAACTAAGCTATAGAATCCCATTGCCCCTCTGTTACCCTGTCAGTTGAGGAAGAAGATAAGTGGATGGATGGATAACAGATGGATGGATGGATGGATGGATGGATAGATGATGGACAGATTGATGGGTGGATGGATGGATAAATAGATGATGGGCAGATTGATGGGTGGGTGGATAGATAGATGACGGACAGATTGATGGGTAGATGGATGGATAGATAGATAGATGATGGACAGATTGATGGGTGGATGGATGGATAGATAGATGATGGACAGATGGATGGATGGATGGATGGATGAATGATGGACAGATTGATGGATGGATGATGGACAGATGGATGAAAGGGAATAGGATGCCTTGGTTTTCTGCTGCAGATCTTCCAGGACCATCCACTGCAGAAGGATTATGACTACAATGTGACAACAGTGCCCAAACCTCAGGCTCCCCTGCCCAACACAGCCCTCCTCTCCCTTGTGCTCATGGCTGGCACCTTCTTCTTAGCCATGATACTGCGCAAGTTCAAGAACAGCTCCTACTTCCCCGGCTGGGTGAGCACACCCTCCCTTCACCCTGCCCTTGCCCACACTGCCCTATCTCAGTCCAAAGCATGCCTCTAGGTTCCTCAGTGTCCTTAGCTCTCCTTCTTACCCTAGATTCCCATCCCCCGTTCCAAACCTCCCTGGTCTCCTCCTCATCTAGGCTGCCACTCTTCAGGCAAGACCATCTCCCTTTCTTAGCATGCCCAGGCTGAGAACCTAGTGGGGAGCCAAGGACAGCTCTTAGAAAAGGGGTGGAGAAGCTGTGGGGCCAGAGGTGGGGCTGGGCCAGAGAAAGAAGAAAGGAAGCAGGTACATTGAGGTGCAGGACAGGGCATTAGATGTTGATGGGCTCCCTGGGAAAAGCAAGGCGCCCTGGGTGAAGAAGGGGCAGGAGTGGGAGACAGGAGGTAGGGAAACAACTGGGTACTGACCACTGATTTCTGCCCTCAGCTGCGACGGGTCATCGGAGACTTTGGGGTTCCCATCTCCATTCTGATCATGGTCCTGGTGGATTTCTCAGTCAAGGACACCTATACCCAGGTGACCCTCTCTCCCCACTGTTATTTCATTCTCCCAGTGTCCCCCTCCCAAGAATAGCTTTCCCAAACCCAAAGCCATCTAGAACTACCCCTACCCATCCCTGCCTCCCCTGAGAGCCTCAAGTCCTTCCCACAGCCCTACAGGAGCCCTCTGACTGAAGCGAGGGTCTGGGGCAGATTCCCTCTTTACTCCGAAGAATCTGCTTTAGCCGGGCAGATCTGAGTATGAATCTCACTTCTGACACCAAATAGCTGTGTGATGCAAGGCAAACCACATAACCTCTCTGATCCTGTTTCCTCATCTATAAAGCTGGGAATGAGAAGATGTACATAAAGGGCTTAGTGCAGTGACTGGGTACAAACCATAAGTAAGTTCCCAAGTGCCCAGGACCCTGGCTGGCCCTGCCTCCCTGCCCCCAGCCCCCTGCCTCCGGTGTTCTCACCAGCATCCCCCTCCCACAGAAACTCAGTGTGCCTAAAGGCCTCTCGGTGTCCAACTCCTCGGTCCGGGGCTGGATCATCCACCCTCTGGGCTTGTATTCGCCTTTCCCCATCTGGATGATGTTTGCCTCCGTCCTGCCTGCCCTCCTGGTTTTCATCCTCATCTTCCTTGAGTCCCAGATCACCACGTGAGAGCCAGGGTGGGGCCGAGCCTGGGAGGGTCCGAGGCGGGGAAAGCGACAGGCTCCGGGCAGGCATGACACCAAGGACTGAGCGCGAGTCTCAGTCAAACCTGTGGCCCTCCTGACAAGCAGGAGTGATGGATGGGCGGGGGAAGGTCCAGGTTTTGCGGGACGTGACACTGTATAATTTGGGGAAGCCTTTTTAAGAGAAAGGAGACAAAACGAGGCGCCAGAACTCAGAAGGGACCTGTACCAGTGAGGCTCCCTGAAGTTCAGCTGCATCAGCTGCTTGTAGACATTCTAGATGATATCTAAAGATACTTCTACTCGTAGAGTCTGGATTCTCAAGAGGGGGTGGGAGGGAGGGGAGCAAGGAACTCTAACGGAGATGAACACAGCAGGATAAATAAGATACAGAGGGACACAAGTATGGAGAAGGAAGGAGGGGCAAAGAGGGTGAGGGTAAGCGAGAGCACTGCTCACCCCTGACCTCACCCCCACCCCCCGCCAGGCTGCTCATCAGCAAACCAGAGCGCAAGATGGTCAAAGGCTCTGGATTCCACCTGGACCTGCTGCTAATTATCGGCATGGGCGGTGTGGGTGCCCTCTTTGGGTTGCCCTGGCTCAGTGCCACAACCGTGCGATCCATCACCCATGCCAACGCGCTCACCGTCATGGTCAAGGACAGCACCCCGGGGGCTGCACCCCAGATTCAATCGGTCAGGGAGCAGCGGATCAGCGGGCTCCTGGTCGCTGTGCTCGTGGGTGAGTAAGGGCTGGCCACACTCTCTACCACCCTCTGGCCTTGCTCCGGGCCCCCAGCCCCTGCCCGTTAGGATCCAGTGCCTTCTCCAGCCCTGCCCGCACTGTAGCCAGATCTCCCCGACGTACCCCCTGCCCGTGTCTCCCAGTGTCAGTTGTCCACATGAGGGAATTCTGGAGGAGATGCCCAAGGCACTGAGATGGACATCTGAGTCGAGGAAGGAGCAGGGGACTTCTCTAGATAGGACCCAGCATTCAGAGTTTTATCCAACAGAAGTTCAGTCAGTGAATGGTGGGTTCCAGCCCTGCCCTGCTGCTAACTTAGTAACCCTCCTCATCTCTGGGCCTCGGTTTCTCAGTCTGTACCATGAGAGGGTTCATTAGATGCCCCTGAAGTCTCTCTAGCTGGGCTGTTCTATGACTGAGAGACATAGGAGGCAAAGTTGGTGTTAGCTGGAGGAGGGTCAGGGTTTGGATAGGTGGAGGGGGTTGGAGGTATTCTGGGCTGGAGCGATGGAAAAGTTGGGCTTCTCTGACCTCTGTGATCCTCTGAGGCTAAAAGAAAAGGCTTTGAAATCGGGCTGGCAGGAGTTTGACTCCCTGACCCGCCACTTAGTAGCTGCGTGGTTGCAGACAAGTTGCTTCCCTTCTCTGGGTCTGTTTCCCCATCTGTAAAATGGGGGTAATACCTGGGGGGGAGGGACGGGGTGGGCGAGGGGCGGGGGCCTGGGGCTAG